TGCCTCTGGCCTGGCTTGGTGTGATCCTCTCCAGGAAAGACCCCGAGCCCACGTGCTAACAGAACATAGATACCAGCTGCCAACGTGCAATTGCAATGGGGCCACCTTTCCCTGTAATTGGCCAGGGCAGTATCCATATTCATGCTGTTAATTTGCCTACCTCATGCCTATGTTCTGGAAGGCTCCTGTGGCTTCCAGAAGGCTGGGGGAGCTTAATATAAACTCAAACAGCACCAGAACATCATGAGCAGTCCTGACTAATCAATTGCAACACTCTGTTAAGTAGAATGCCAAACTGAATTTACCTGACAGTCTCTCTGTTAAGCGGAGAAACTCAGTTATGCTATCCTAATTGTACAAATCCTAGATCCTATCTAGGAGGATGTGACATATGAAACTGTTATTTCCAATCATACGGACTGTATTGGACACTATATCTTAATGTGTCTGTGGGCCTTTTAAGTACAGTTCAGTAAAGTTCACAAACGCTGCTGCAATGCCTCTTTACTGACTATACACATAGGAATTATGTGCCTTTAGGAGACTGAAGGCACAACTAAGTTAATGAGTAACGAGTAGACATGTCCATTTAGTTTAGTTATTTTTTTAGGACAAAAATTCATTTTCGGAGATTTGGATGTCTCATACTCCCCATTCGTGGACATGAGTAGACACTGGAGGGCTGTATGGGCTTCGGGCAGTTACAGTGTAGAAATGATGGTCTCTGGATCACCCTGTATTTTTGAAGGGTCCAGCCATGTGTTGCAGCTACAGGAGCCTACTAACACCAGGACAATACTAAATAGTAAGGTTAGGCCCAAATTTAGGAGCACATGCGCAGCTTTAAAGAATATGTCAATCCAACATTTCATATTCCAGATACAGTATGTGCTTGCTGTGCCATGTACTTGTATGAAAAAGTATTCTGTTCTCTTTGTATTACTTCTATTGTGTGAAATCCAGAGGCAAAGATTGAAGCTTGTGAGCCCTGATGCAAAAGTTGACTCCCCCCCCCCAAATACCACCCGTTGCTTCCACTGCATGCTTGCCCCATCACCCTGCGTAGGTGAAATAGGAAACTCAGAGGTCCCGGGACAGGCCTGGGTTGCCCTTCAGTTTAGTGAAATACCTACATCGGGTGATGCGGCAAGCGCTTTTCCCAGTGACACAGTGTAAAAGAGGGATATGCAACCTTTGAGAGGTGGAGATCTACAGTAGCTAAACAACATGAAAGAGATCAAAGACCACCGGGGTTCAACGCCACTTTTAAAAGAAAAAAAAAGAAATTAGCAAGCCTAGCAAGGCCTAACTAAATAGTAAGGAAAACTCAGAAACATATAATACAACAAATGTCACTGTAAAAATATAAACTAGCCTATCTTAAAAGTGGACAGTGTCAGTAGGGCAGAGTACACCATCCCTACAGTCAAGCATGGAGATGGAAACATTATGCTGTTTCTCTGCTAAAGGTACAGGCTGACTTTGCCGCATTGAGGAGCTAATGGACGGATCCATGTATTGTAAAATCTTGGATGGGAACCTTCTTCCCTTAGTCAGAAACACTGGAGATGGCTCGTAGATGGTTTTTCCAGCATGACAGTGACCCAAAACATACCGCCAAGGCAACAAAGGAGTGGCTCAAGAAGAAGCACATTAAGGTCATGGAGTGGCCTAGCCAGTCTCCAGACCTTAATCCTATAGAAAATTTATGAAGGGAGTGAAAACCTTGAGTTGCCAAGCAACAGCCAAAAAATCTTAAGAATTTAGAGGATATCTGTAAAGAAGAGTGGACCAAAGTCCCTCCTGAAATGTTTGCAAACTTAGTAACCAACTTCAAGAAACATCCTACCTCTGTGCTTGCCAACAAGGGTTTCTCCACCAAATACTAAGCCATGTTTTGCTTGGGGATCAAACACTTATTTTACTCACTGAACTTGTATCATGTTTTTTCAGGATTTTTGGTTGATATTCTGTCTTTTAAATACACCTATGATAAAAAATTATAGACCCTTCATTTCTTTGTAAGTGGGCAAACTTACAAAAACCACAGGGAATCAAATAATTATTTCCCCCGCTGTATGAGAGTTTTATGTGCTTGAAAAACAACTCCTACAAACCAGTTTGCAGGAGTGTAAAAAGAAGTTAATTTTTCCCCCTTTTCCTTTCTCTCTCCCTCGGACCTCCTACCAGTGATCAGATAAATCCCTGGGTCAACCTACTGAATTTAAGAATTCATATTGGCCTGTACATTATGCTGACCAAGGAAGATCTAAAAGTTTTTCGAATTTCAATCAACTCTCTTAGCTAATAAAAATTCCTGGAGGAGAAATTTCCACACTTTTACTTCTCTGACAGTAAACGTCTCAGTTTAAAGCTTTGTTTTCTTTTTTTGTTCTTTTTTTGCGATACAGCACCATATACATTAGTTATGTGTAATGGTGTGTATCCCATTACCTGCAGGCTGATGTTTCTGCTAGAAATCCTGCCTTCTTGCGGCCCCCAGATACTATCCTAAGCAGCTGTCTTCTTGAGAGTTAACAGCAGTCACTGCTACAGAATTGGTGACCAAAACATCCCCACATATTCAAGATGAGGTAGAACCAGTATTTTATAAAGGAGCATCATTATGTTTTATCTTTAAATATGTATCCTTTTTAATAGTAGAAAGTATTTTGCTAGTTTGTTACTTGCAGTTTAGCATTGTAAACTGTTGCTTAGGCTGGCCATATACTCTATCTGGTTAAATCGTATGATTGTAAAATCTCTGTACATCTCCATTAAGGTTACCAAAACTGTAAAATGAGGACAAAGGGATGGGGAGACTTTTGACACCATTGATCTAACATGGCCATCTTGGATCAATGACATTGCCCTAACATGGTCATGTGACCATATTTAGTCAATAAAAGCCATAAACATCTTCACCCCTTTGTGTATGTGAAGCTGCAGGATGGGGAATCCCCACCCACAGCTCATTGGCCTGGCATTCGGCCATAAATATGTTAAAAATAAATTTAGAGCCAAACCCAAGATCCTCTCCTATCACTTAACACAGTATTGCACTTTATACATTGAACCTCACATAGCCAAGGTTATAAGTTATGCCAAAATAATGCAGTGGCACGCTGCAAACAAGAGGCAGCTCCAGGAACAGCTGGTCAGTAACAAGTGATGCTACACTTTGCTCACCCCAAATCTAAAAGTGGTCCAGATAATATGAAAAAAAATTAAACCCTCAAAATACTGTCTCTTAAACAAAAGGAACCAACAGTTAACAATAACTGCTGACATAAATCCAACCACAAAATAAACTAAAGATAACAAAGATTATACCAAAGAGCTGTCATGCTTACCCCTAATGCAGGTGGTCAGGCATTATAGCTTGCTTCTGTGTTCTTCACCAATAGCAGCCCTCTTTCCCTTAAAGCAAATAGGCTTTCCAATACTCGGTTGCCCCAGGACTTATACACAATGCTATAGTGCTTGGCTACCACACCAAACAGGCAAGAACTGAGCATTAAAAATGAGTACTTGCGGTTGGCAGACAGGCAGAGTGGCTCAATGACAGTCAAGGTACAAGGCAGGCAAGGTTCAGGATAGTCAGAGTCACATCTGTAGTCAAAAGGCAGGCAGAGTTCAGAGAATAATCAATATACAATCCGAGGTCATACACAGGGAAATCCAAGCAGCATGGCAGAAAAACAGGGAGCTTGAGCATGTGTTACAAAAAATTATCACAAGCATCAGGCTGCAGGCTTGGCTAGCTTAACCACTTGCGGACCACCCACAGTACTTGTACAGGCAAAACAACATACCTTTACATTGCTTTGACAGTACTGACAAGGGGGGGGGGGGCACTGCATGGTACCATTGAACTACTCTGATGAAAGTATTTAAAAAAAATAGTAAGCAGTAAAACATAATGTTACCAAATAAAATTAAATATTGATTAAAAAATATTTTTTTTATTTTTTTATTTTTTAACATGCTGTCACCAGTCCCTGATCACTGCCACAGCAGTCATATCATGATGTTGTACTGTGCTGGTGACGGTAAAACAAATGTGAAAAAATGTACATTGTGGGCGAGTGGCAGCTCTGGGCAAAGCAATGTACCCATACGTCATGATCTATTTCTGGGTGTGAGCATGACCCCCCTTCTCATTCGCTGAGCAGTTCATCAGCTGTCCCAGCCAATGATTTTTGGCTGGGACTCTGCTGATCTCCTGCAGCAAATGGAGAAGCTGCTCTTCTCTTCCTGGACCTTTTTTAGTTAAAGTAAAGAAAATGGAAACAACATACTGTGAGTAAAAGCAACACATTTTACTCACGTTACATTAGCACATTTAACTTTTTGATCGCCCCTATTAACTCTTCGATCACCACGTCACCCAGGCAGTGCCATTAGTATAGTGTCGGTATATAGAATTTTTCAATGATCACTGTATTACTGCCACTAGCAACGTCAGATAGCATCAGGGTAAGTTAGCCCCCCTCCCAGCCAGGGTCAGCTAGCGTTAGATTGCCCACACACCATCACACTCATGCTATAGGTCGCTGATCACCGCCATTACCAGTATATTGTGTGTACAGATCAATATATTGATCATGAACAGAACTCTACTAGTGCATCCTTAGTATAGTGTCCCCAAAAATGAAGTGTTAGCAGAATCAGCCCCGTTTTCTACCAGCACTAGCATTTAGCACCTCACCCCCCCCAACAAGAAGTGCAGAGTCACTGTCACTTGATACATTGCACACAAAACCACAGCATTAGCAGAATCAGGCCTCATCTCTGCTTGCACTAGCAGGTGCTAAGATCAGGTGTACTCAACCCCCATGTAACTTAAGTGCTAGGAATGCATGACTTGTCTCATATGCAACAGGGTCCACGTACTAGTGCCACACTATCTTTTGGTGAACTGGTGAGTACCAGTGGCCTAGTACATCCTGGAATTTTACATACCAGCACTGCAGTATTACTTGGTGACATGGTGAATCCAGGGGCGGACTGACCATTTGGAAACTCGGGCACTGCCTGAGGGCCCGGGGTCAGTAGGGGGCCCCATGAGATGTCCCTGGTACCTTTTTCATAGGCTTTTTTTAGTTTGGGCAAGGACACAGGGGCCCCATGATCCCCTATTGCCCGAGGGCCCCATGAGTTGTCAGTCCGCCCCTGAGCGAATTCCCATTAGTGCAGTCCAAGCTGGTGCGGTGGCTAGCACTAGTAGCGTCTCACTGCCACCAAGAATTCAAACACAGGCCCATAGAGCCCTTTGCAGGAATGCCATTCAGCTGTAGCACTGATCTGTTTATTTTGGCAGCAGCAGGGTGTGCTTTCAGAATATATACGTCAGTGCATGCAGTGCTGCTGGAGCAGATTTCTCATCCCCAGTTAAAGAAGAATGTATATATCCAAGCATGAGGGTCTGGGGTGGTCAGTGGGGGAATCAGTCCTATGCTTCAGCATCTCTTTTTTTCACTTTCTTTTGGCAGAGAGTTATTAATCCAGATCAATTAATGTGAATGGAGGAATCTGTTGGATTCGTTTTATTTTGTTCAGCCCACAGGCTGCATGAAAAAAAAAAACATTACATATATGCCCAACAAGGACCAGCGATGTAATGGTACGTAGCTGCATTTGATGCCTTCAAGAAAAAGCAATCCTAACTGCTAATAAGCTGCTGGATTTCTTTTACAGGCAGGGGGAGGGGAGGGGACTCCCCCCCCTCCTGCTTCCCTCCACAGCTTTTTCTGGCTCTCCCGTCCCACCGGGGAACCCGAGAATGCAGCCGGAAGTTCTGCATGCTGACCATAGAGCTGAACAGCTCCAATCATCTATATGGTCTAAGAATCAACAAGAAACAAGCATTTCATCAATTCAGTTTCGCTGAATATAAACAGTCCATTTTTAAATTGGCCAAGCATCTGATCACACTGATCTTGGTGTGATCAGATGCCTAAAGGGCAGAGGAGAGATCTGGAGTCTAATAGACCCCAGAATTCTCAGAAAAGAGTACCTGTCACTGCCTATTGCTATCAGAGGGAATATTTACATTCCCTGTGTGAATACAATAAAAGTGATTAAAAAATTAAAGGGACAGTGTAAAAAATAAAAAAGCAAAATAACTAATAATAAAAAAAATTAAAGCACCTCCACCCTCCCCATGCAAAGGCGAATGCACATGTCGGTCCTGTGGTGGTATGTAAACAGTGAATTCATTTTTTCTTCTCTCTTTTTATTTTTCAAAACCTTGTGACAAAAATTATATCTGCAAAATATTCACCATGCCACTTATCAAATTCCTTGGGGTGTCTACTTTCCAAAAAGGGGTCATTTGGGGGGGGGGGGGGTTGTTTGGAATATCCTGGCATTTCAGGGTCTCAGAAACTGTGATGGATAGTGAGGAGGTGACATGAGGAAATATACCCTTTGAAAGCCTCCAGGTCATTTGATTTTGGGGGTCTGTATGTGGCTGGGCTGCCAAAAAGTCTTCTACATGTGGAGAAGTATCGGAATGAGTTTTGGGGTTTAATTCCACATATACCCATGGCATGTGTGAGCAATATATAATTTAAGTGACAACTTTGTGTCATTTTCCAAAAATTTAAAAAGAGAAAAAAAAAAATCTTCCATTGACTCAACATGCCTCTCAACAAATAGCTTGGGGTGTGTCTACTTTTCTGAAAGGGGTCATTTGGGGGGGGGGGGGTTTGTGCTCTCCTAGCATTTTAGGGCCCCTGAAACTATGATAGATAGTAAGGAAGCCTGAAGGTGGTCATTGCTTTTCGGTCCCCGTACACAGCTAGGCTTTCAAAAAGTCTCACACATGTGGTATCCGCATACTTAGGAGAGGCAGCAGAATGTATTTTGGGGTGTAATTCCACATATACCCATGGAATATGTGACCAATATATGATTTAAATGACAACGTTGTGTAAAAAATTTTAGCATTTTAGATATTTTGTTTTTAGCAAAGACATGTAGCAAATTACATTTTGCCCTACATTTGTGAAAAAATTTAGTTTATTGGAAAAATTTATAACAGAAAGTAGAAAATATTTTTTTTTTCATAATTTTTGTTCTTTTTTCATTTAAAAGTACTGTGTTCAGGTGGCAAGTGGCTAAAAAAAAAAAATCCCAAGACAATATACTTATAAATTCACCAAGACCATGAATCTTGAACATGCAGGATTTACCTTAAACTTGTGTTAGCAACAAGCCCCTAACGGTAACCTCACATTTTTCTTAAAGGGAAATGCAGAAAACAAATGTCAACCCATTATGACTTACAGTGGTTATGGTAAAAAATCCCACCCCCCTTAAAAATATCATTTTGTTGCTGCTTTGCAGCCTGAAATGAAGACAGGCACAGTTTTTGTTTAATCCAGCTATATTTACTCAGTGCAACTTATAACATCAAAGTGAAAGATATAACACCAACATGTCAGACAAAAAAAAAAAAAAAAACCAGATTCAGTGAGTTGGAAAAAGGATCACCCCTTTCTGTTAATATTTTGTTGAACCACCTTTTGCTTTAGTTACAGCCTTTAGTCTACTGGGATAAATCTCTACTAGCTTTGCACATCTAGATTTTGCAATATTTGCTCACTCCTCTTTGCAAAACTGCTTGAGTTCAGTTAAATTTGATGATGATCGTTTGTGGACTGCAGTCTTCAAGTCATTCCACAGGTTTTCAATGGGGTTTAAGTCTGGGCTCTGATTAGGCCATGCAAGGACATTCACCTTTTTCTCTTTTAACCACTGTGTGGTAATTTTTGTTGTGTGCTTTGGGTCATAGTTATGTTAGAAGGTAAAGAAGAAGGTTTTTCCCATTGCCAACTTTCTGTCAGAGGGCAGATTTTCCTCAAGAATTTGACAGTATTTTGCCCCATCGATTTTTCGTTTTATCCTGACACGAGCTCCAATCCCTGCTACAGAGAAACCCCCATAACAGGATATTACTAGCTCCACGCTTTACTGTAGGAATGGTGTTATTTGGATGGTGAGCTGTATTGGATTTCTTCCAGACATATCGATTAGTGTTGAGGCCAAATAATTAAATTTTAGTTTCATCTGGCCATAACAACTTTTTCCATGTGGCCTCAGAATCTTCAAGGTGTGTTTTGGCAAAGCTCAATTGTGACTGCATGTGGCCTTTCTTGAGGAGTGGCTTTTTTCTTAAAAACCCTCCCATACAAGACACATTTGTGGAGTTATTTGTGATATTGTCACATGCACACAATGACCACTCTTTGTCATAAATTCATGCAACTGCTTCAAAGTTGCTGTAGGCCTCTTGGTAGCCTCTTTGACCAGTTTACTCCTGGCTCTTTCATCCAGTTTGGAGGGATGTCCTGATCCAGGGAGGGTCTGTATTGTACCAAATACCTTCCACTTCTTAACAATAGACTTCACTGTGCTTCTAGGCATTGATAAAGTCTTTTATTTTTTTTTTGTCTCCATCTCATGACTTGTGCCTGTCCAAAATTTTATCCCAGAGATCTTTTGACAGTGACTTGCGACCCATAGTTGATTGTTTTCTTCAATTGTACTACCAGGGACTAAATGCTCAAGGAAAGCTCTTTTCATGCTAAGCTATTTAAAATGACCACAGCTGATCACAGTTGAAAGTCAAATGGGTTTGTGTGCCATTGGGAAGGTGATTTGCTACAACTGATTGAGTTTACAAGTCATCTTTAGTAGGGGGTGATCCTTTTTCCAACTCAGTCATTCTGTTTTTTGAATTTTTTCTATTTTTGTCTGACATGTTGGTGTTATATCTTTCACTTGGACGTTATAAGTTGTTATATAGTTGAGTAAATACAGCTTTATAAAACAAAAACAGTGTCTGTATTCATTCCAGGCTGCAAAGCAACAAAATGAGAATATTTTAAAGAGGGTGATACTTTTCTATACCCACTGTATAAAAATAGAATTAAACCAGGGTATATACTTCCCTTCAAAATATATATCTATCCAGTTTCTAAACATAGCAAATCTCTCTCGCTTCCAGATGTAACAGATCCAGAACATAAACAAACAGATCCTTTCTGGTCACATACAGTTAGGTCCATATATATTTGGACATAGGCACAATTTTAGTTTTTTCAGGTATTGACCAAAACATATTCAAGCTATAGTTATATAATGGACATAGGCTGAAAGTGCACACTCTCAGGTTTAATTTGAGGGTATGTACAACCAAATTGGAGGAAGGGTTTAGGAATTACAGCCATCCCCACTTTTTCAAGGGACCAAAAGTAAATGGACAATTGAATATAATCATAAATAAAATGTTCATTTGTTGAGAATCCTTTACTAGCAATGACTGCCTGAAGTCTGGAACCCATGGACATTACCAAAGACTGGGTTTCCTCCTCTCTGAATCTTTGCCAGGCTCTAACTGCAGCTGTCTTTAGTTGTTCTTTGTTTGTGGGTCTTTCTGCTTGTAATTTTGCCTTCAGCAAGTGAAATGCATGCTCGGTTGGGTTGAGGTCAGGTGATTGGCTCGGCCATTGCAGAATATTCCACTTCTTTTTCTTCAAAAGCTCCTGGGTTGCTTTTGCAGTGTGTTTTGGATCATTGTCCATCTGTACTGTGAAGCGCCGTCCAATCAACTTTGCTGCATTTGGCTGAATCTGGGCTGACAGTATATCTCTAAACACTGCAGAATTGATCCGACTGCTTCTGTCTTCTGTCACATCATCAATAAACACCAATGACCCAGTGCCACTGAAAGCCATGCATGCCCATGCCATCACACTGCCTCCACCATGTTTTACAGATGACGTTGTGTGCTTTGGATCATGAACTAGTCCAAGCTTTCGCCACACTTTTTCTTCCCATCATTCTGGTGCAGATTAATCTTAGTTTCATCCATCCAAAGAATGCTTTGCCAGAACTGGTCTGGCTTTTTAAATGTTTTTTGGCAAAGTCTAATCTGGCTTTTGTATTCTTCAGGCTTATGAATGTTTTGCACCTTGTGGTGAACCCTCTGTATTTGCCCTCATGAAGTCTTCTCTTGATTGTAGACTTTGACAATGATACGCCCACCTCCTGGAGAGTGTCCTTCACTTGTCTGGATGTTGTGAATGGGTTTTTATTTACCATAAAGGGGATCCTGCAACCATCCACCACTGTTGTCTTCCATGGACGTCCATGTCTTTTTATGTTGCTGAGCTCACCAGTGCGTTCTTCTTTCCTCAGAATGTACCAAACTGTTGATCTG